CTCATAAAAGGGGATAAAACAGACGTTTTACACGATGGAATCTGATTGATGAAAACTTAGGAGCTTAATCTGGGATCAGTTTGTGGATGAATAACGTTGGGTGACAAGTCTGACTTTTTTTTTTATTTTTGCATTGAATTCCACCGGAATGAAATCCCTTGCATACTGCCTGTTCACTACGTCAGAACTTATTCGGCAAATGTGTTTCCACCTCTCCTTTGGCAGAGGTTTGCACTCTCAGAGTGCTTCTAGTTCTCATGTATTTTCATTCAATAAATTGGAGCATTTTCAATTTTTCCTTCGATGATGGGTCCAGTCAAGAATAAAACTTGTAGATTTTGTTTTATTAAACGAAAATGCATTTTGCAAAAACCTCAGCAAGTATTTCTCATCAGGTGGATTAAATCTTTTCACACATCAACTTTTGTTTCATATAATGAAAGCACGTCAGGTAACAAAGGAAACAACACAAATAATGAATAACTGTTTTACAAAAAGCAACCTTTCATATAATACATCAATGCAACATGAACTCATTTTCTTTTATAACAAAGTACAAAATATCATTAAACTCTCACCTGAAAATGAACTTTGGTAGAAAAGCAACATAAAAGTCAAACAAAAAAATATTTACAACCATTATTATTTACATCCTTCAAACATTTAAATTTGTTCAGCAATAATGATTTCTGTGAATTCATTACTCCCATTACTGTCCTCAGTAGCCTGCACGTCGGCTGCAGGTACCTGGTTTTCAGCTTGAGTCTCGTTATTTTTACTTCCGTCTCTCCCCTCTTCCTTCACCTGCAGCTCCAGCCTCAGCAGCTCCTTCTCATTCAGGACCAATTCCTCCTCGATGGCCCTCTGCTGCGCCTCTCGCACTTTCCTCTCCTCCTCAGCCTTCTCTGTTTTCTCCTGCTTCCTCAGCTTCCAGTAGAAGACCAGGTTTTTCTCAGGGTAGGTGACTTTAGCCAGCGGCAGCTTAAAGATTCGTTTGGYCTCCGTGGTCAGGAGGAGGAAGGTGAGGGCGGAGAGGCAGAACGGCCAGGTGCATGCTGGCAAACCGAACTGTGGATAAATCAAAATAAACCCCATTTGGTACCAATGTTTTTATTTTAAATTAATCAGTACAGTGCGTAGATGAACCTAGAATGACGTATATTTACCCTGGACATAATGTTGGCAATGGCTGAGCCGAGATATGCGCAGAAAAATGCTGCAGAGAAGAAGAAAACATGTTGAGATGACAGATAACAGATAACAGATAACCTGCTTCGTGTTTCCTAAAGTTGCTCACGGTAACATGACGTCCCACACCCATCTCTTATAGATTAGCTGACTTTCAGATAAAGTCTTTTTTTTATCTCTCTGGGTGTCTACTCACCACATGTGATGGCGAGCAGGTGCACCTGCCAGGTGAGAGCGTAGAACATTCCTCCGATGGCGATGCAGGCCAACACACAGTTGTAACCCCACAGGCCAAAATAAATATCTTCAAACGGGGCTGCTAGAGCCAAACCTGAAAAAACAAACTCGTTAATTTTATAGCTTGATTATCTCAATCAGATTCCTACTAAATACAGATACTGAATTTATTGTGTAACTGTTCAGGGAATRCTGTACACTGGACTGAGGCTGTACAAAGTTTGCTTTTGATCTTCATTACTTTACAACCCCACTGACGTTTCACCAGGGTTTGGGTGCGTTATCTCACCTGACACCATGCCCACAGCAGATCCCAGAACNCTCATGCGGTGGCGGGGGCACTCTCTGGACAGTTTTCTGGACGTCCCCCTGGACTTCTGTGTTTTTTGTCCCGAGTTCCCCTGTCTCGTGATTGTGTTCCTCATGTCCTGTGCCTCTCCCTTTTCGACGTCGGGAGCCGTCGTTAAGAGGGGGGTACTGTCATAGTCTGTATTCGTTTTCCTTGGTTTCCTAGTGTTTTCTATGCTCCCCAGTGTGTCTCTGCCCTGCTGCTCCTTATGTCACCCTTGTGTTTCTCCTCAGGTGTTTTCTGTTTATTTAAATCCTGTGCTGTCTCAGTCTTATTGTCGGATCATTGTTGTGTTGTGTTTTGTTCTTGAGCTTTGTCTCCCTCGTGCATGTGTCTTTGAGAACCTGTTAGTGAATTTTGAGCTGCCTCAACAGCATTTTCGGTTATTTAATAAATCTTTTTGTTCCTTTTTGAAACCTGCCTGCGCCCTGTGTCTGTCCTCCACCAATCCTGATTGTGGACAAAATTACGCAAAAACTTGTGGATGGATTGTCATGAAATTTTTACCACATGTGRGAATTGGCCCAAGGAACACAYCTTTAAATATTGGTGATGTTCCGGATTACGATGCGGTTACAGGAATTTTTCTTTTAATTCAACCGAATCAGCCAGGCTACGCAAAGTGTCATGGTGTCAGACGCATGTCTGTATGAAACAGGAAGTACAAGTCGCAAAGTCGCTGGGACTACACCTCCCAGGATGCCTACCATTGGGAAAGTTGTGATTATTCTGTTATCAACTAGTATTGGCGATGTTACATGCTGTCGGGAGACATAGAAAAAGAAATGTGATTCTCTTCACATTACGGGAATAACTGAGAAGACGCTGACAGCGGGGGAAGGTCCAGCTGTAGCCGAGCCGAAGCTGGTACTGGACTGTCAGAACAGCTGATCAACCATGTGAGGTACCCCCTCCACATAAGAACTTTATTGTGTGATTTGTCAGAAGTTCATGGGAGTGTTTGATGTGCTAAAAGCGCTCAGACGCTGAGCCTATTGTACCAGGAAGCAGCAGTTTGGAAAGATAGTCAAACCATTACA